CGATGTCCCTTTAGGGCATTTAGGACTTAAGGAGAAGTATTAGATATACTAGAAGTCTTTGTTGGTTAACACATTTTATACATTTTCAGGTTTAGGAGGGTGACGCAATTCGACATGTTCGTTAAGATGTTGGTAGCATAGTCAGTGAGTTCATTCGTAAGCGATGGGTGGTGGTTCCAATAAATCCTGAGCTGATTTTAAAACTGATTTTCGATATATAAGTATATATATATTTTTAATTAAAAAATGGATGCGTGTAACTTATGTACGCGCGTGAGAAGTTATACTTCTTTAGCATCATTAAAAATATTTTTTAATTGCATGCAAATAATTAATAATTACAATAAAATAATAAAAGGACTGGAAAAGGATAGTTAACACAGTCGATTAAGTTCAGTTTTAATTTGAAAAATTAAATAAATATTCAAAATATTCAATTAAAATCACTACTGAATTTAAGTTATTAGTCCATATGTAATTAGCACTTGTAAGTAACTAAAACACTTTGTGTCTATATAGAAACTAGAAACATGTGGATAAATATTATAAATATGAAAACAGTGATCAGAGGTGACGAGCGTGCCAACATTGTTTTTGACAACGCGATCATCTTATGGAGCTCCGTGGATCGTTCAAAGTACCTTTCGAACAGACAGTGGTTAATAATCCACCATTATTAGACACTAACATTCATAACGTGCCCGCGGCCAACTTCATGGTGTTACTATTGTGTTACAGTGATGCGCGCGCATCTCGAAATTTCACTCACATGATTTTTTCATAACGCGCCCGCGGCCAACTTCATGGTGTTACTATTGTGTTACAGTGATGCGCGCGCATCTCGAAATTTCACTCACATGATTTTTTCATAACGCGCCTAAAGAAGTATAACTTCAATAAGTCCAATAATTCACTCCACCCCACCTGATCAATGCTGTAACAAACCGTATGTATTCGTTACCAAGTAACGGGTACATCACCTGACTTCAAGTAACGAATAGTTACTCACGAATACATTTCGTTACTCGTATGTGTCAAACCGATGATGTCAATTTGATTCTGTGTACGAACGTTGATGCGTGAATTAAAACGGTTTGCTCATCTTGCGTAGTACGCATGCGCGCTTATGTTTCGTGATGAACCAATCTATACTTATAATAAATCTGTAGAGAGGTCAATTCTGTACATGAAATATATTTTTAAAATAACTATCAGGGGGTGATTAGTGATCGATACTGATGCCAAAAATGCAATCAGTAAATTTTTTGTCTGTCTGTCTGTGTGTATGTTCCTTATAGAAACAAAAACTACTCGACGGATTTTAACGAAACTTGGTACAATTATTCCTCATACTCCTGGGCAGGTTATAGTATACATTTCATCACGCTACAATCAATAGCAGCAGAGTAGTGAAGGGAAATGTTGGAAAAACGGGAGAAGTTACTCCATTTTTTAAGCTTCCGTCGCGTGTGCAGCCTTAATGGTTAAAGTTACATAGAAATCATGTATGACGGAAATATTCTACATAAAATTGTCTAAAAAATATCCCGCAACAGCATATGTCTATCTTTTATGGTTGACTCACAATAACACGTGTAATTATATAAATAAAGTCATTGTTTATAGCACAAGCTTAAGAACAAAAACTATAGTTTACACTACAGCTCTACACGAAGCGAAGCGAGGGCTGGCCACTAGTGTTTAATATTGTTCGTTGAACCGAATGTATTGAGGCACTCGTGACAACGAAAACTGTTTGTTTATACAACAACAAATATGTATATTTCTGCAAGAGCTGGACAGTTATATAAAAAGTATTATGAATGTGATGACTCAATCAATCTAGGATATTATAATAAGTATAGTATGGTAAGGAAATTGATTAGACAAAGTTTGAAACTGAAATTGAAAGAAGTTTAATTTAAACGAACAACGTCCATATTTTACGTAACTTGACTCGACTCGATCAATGCAGTGCTTCACGCTAGTATCGAAAGTAACGAGTAACGTAACGATACGATAGTAACGAGTATTGATTGTTATAGTAAAGAATACATACGAGTACCAAATATCTCGTTACTTTTACAGTTCTACACCTGATGTTAAGTGACGGTATAATCCAGACGCGAAGATACTTGGTACAGCAGTTCGCCCTACGCACCAGCCATCCTCACCTTGCCGGCCTGCATATTGCTTCTTTCCTTCATGTTTATGTGTGTTATTCATCCTACTAGTATATGTAATCTATATCTATACTTATAATAAATCTGTAGAGAGGTCAATTCTGTACATGAAATATATTTGCAAAATAACTATCAGGGGATGATTAGTGATCGATACTGATGCCAAAAATGCAATCAGTAAAATTTTTGTCTGTCTGTCTGTCTGTCTGTGTGTTTGTTCCTTATAGAAACAAAAACTACTCGACGGATTTTAACGAAACTTGGTACAATTATTCTTCATACTCCTGGGCAGGTTATAGTATACTTTTTATCACGCTACAATCAGTAGGAGCAGAGTAGTGAAGGGAAATGTTGGGAAAACGGGAGAAGTTACTCCATTTTTTAAGCTTCCATCGCGTGTGCAGCCTTAATGGTTAAAGTTACATAGAAATCATGTATGACGGAAATATTCAACATAAAATTGTCTAAAAAATATCCCGCAACAGCATATGTCTATCTTTTATGGTTGACTCACAATAACACGTGTAACTCCCGATAGCTTAGCAGTTCGGAGCATTCTGATCATATTTGTTTACTCTTACGTTTATAATACTCGGTATAAAGCACCAAACTTATACATGAAATAAGCCATCGCGCCGTCGCACGTGAATACTGAATCATGCTATAAGGATTATTTTTGTGTAACGGTTGCTGCGCTCGACACGGGTCGCGGCGGCGCGGCGGTAGGGTATCAAAAGGCGGGAGGTCTGAGGCGAGCTGTCTAAATCTGTTTTCTGCGTCGCTCCCCCCCTGGGGGACGATCGCTTCCGATGAAGCCTTAGAGGCCTTCCCGGCCGGAGGCAGCCCCTACGGGTGTTTTTTAGTCAGTACGAGTCTGACATAACCTTGCAGCCGGCTGTAGTAGGGTATCCATAAGGATTTCTCATCTGCTCCCCCGCCTGCGAGACCGAAACCGTGTTTATCAGCGCGACTTTTAGTCTTTAAATAGTTTATTTGAATTTCTTTTGTTGTTATTTTGTAAAACAGGTATTAGTTGTTTTGGTAGTGTTTAAATATTCGTTCAAATTAAAAATTATTAAGCGTAGGTACTTTTATTAATTAAAGTAGTTATAAGTATTTATTTTAAGTGAAGTAGGTAAAGGTAGATAGTATTGCACAGGCGTTTCAGCTTTATTTTCATTTATTTTTTGTTGTGAGTTGTATATATTTCTGGTTATAATTCTATAAGAATATTTTAGTTTAAATAGTCACTTAGATTTTAAGTGTAAGGTAGCTAAAGTTAGGACCACGTATTAGTTGTTTTGGTAGTGTTTAAATATTCGTTGAAAGTGTAATTTAATCATATAGGATGAATGTACGATGGCCCATCGAAAAGGAGTAGAAGTGGTACACAGAATTTTAAGAGATATAAGACAAAATGATCGACCCATGGGCGGTATCACAGTTGTATTTTGTGGTGATTTCCGACAAACCTTAACGGTAATACCACGGGGAACCCGAGCTGCTGAGGTTAGGGCTTGCCTGAAAAGCTCTTATTTGTGGCGTGATATACAATCTGTGCATTTGACTATAAACATGCGAGTGAGAACTGTAGATAACCCGGATGATCGTGAATTTTCTGATATATTATTAAAGAACATACCTTCACCAAAGATACCTATCCACTGCTACACCAAGGAAAACTTATTCTGACGCCTGAGTTATGTTGTATAGTGGAATCCCAACAACATCTTACATCGTCAGTTTACGGTGACGTAACAAATATATTAAATAAGAACAATTCTTGGCTATGCGAAAGCTCCATTTTAACTCCTCGCAATGACCAGGCATCTGAGATTAATAATAAAATACTGTCGAATATCCAGGGGGCAAGCAAAGTTTATAGTTCAATAAATAGAATGGCCGATGAACAAGAAGCCACTAATTACCCGATAGAATTTTTAAATTCTTTAAATATGCCCGGACTTCCTTCTCATGAAATTTGTTTAAAAATTGGCATTCCGATTATTCTGCTCCGAAATTTAAGACCACCACAAATTTGCAATGGAACTCGGCTTAAAGTAACCCAGTTGCAACAAAATGTAATCGAGGCTCAGATTTTAATAGGTTGCGGTGCAGGAGAAACCATCTTTATTCCCAGAATTCCCAAAATACCAAATAATTTTCCATTCCAATTTAAAAGAACGCAATTCCCAGTATCGGTGTGTTATGCAATGACATAAATAAGGCTCAAGGGCAGACCTTTCGTGTTGTTGGAGTAGATCTCGGTGTCAGTTGTTTTTCACATGGTCAGTTATGTCGGTCTTTCCCGGGTTAGCAGTCCTAGAATTTTTTATGTTCACGTTCCGGACGGGTCAAATTTCAACGTAGTTTACCCGGAAGCTTTGCGCTGAAGTATTTTCATTCTATATGTACTTAAGACTCATGTGAAAGCGATCTAAACAATATTACCAATACATTAACATAATAACATACAAGGAGTTACACGCTGATGGTCTCGGGGCACAGTGATAATAATAATATTCTGCGGTTCCTTATTGCAATATTTTTAACAGTATTATATTTCCCTACTAAAATACGAAAGTTAATCTGTCTGTCACATCAAAACCTCGGAACCCTGAGGAAGGACATATGCTACTTTTTACGAAAAACGACGATAACGCGGACGAAGTCGCGGGCAAAAGCTAGTTGTACATATTACTAGTTTTTAATGCCGTAAAGAAGGATGAAGAGGTTCACGATACAACGAAATTGGATCAAGTAGATTTTTGTCTACTAAGAATTTGCTTAAGCTGTAGAAATTTTATGAGTATACAGTCAGGTGATAATCGTGTAGCCTCCCGATTCCTAGAAGCATATTTTTCTAAATAAACATTATCTTGGTTTTATAACAAAAACAACGTTCTTCTGCGAATTACTCTGAGGCTAAAAATAGTAGCCAGAAATCGGTAAATATCTCAGTAATCCGCTTTGCTGTCGTGTTGTAGTATCATCATCATCATCATCATCAACAGCCTGTCCCTGTCCACTGCTGGACATAGGCCTCTCCAATTGCACACCACTCAGATCGATCTTGGGCTACTCGCATCCAGCTCCTGCCAGCCACCTTGCGCAAATCGTCACTCCATCGTGCCTGAGGACGTCCTACACTACGTTTGCCTAGACGCGGTCTCCACTCCAGAACTCGTCTACCCCAACGGTTATCGGTTCTTCGGCAAATATGGCCAGCCCACTGCCACTTCAACTGTTGTAGTATATACCCCGGCAACAAACTTGAAGCCTGCTCAATAGCAATTTTAGATAAAGAGCAGTCTACTGCTTTTTGAGCAAAATAGCCAGACGCTCCCACCTTCGCGCTGCTGGTTTCCGGGGGATCTTAACCTTATCATATCATCATCACCTCAGCCGTATGACGCCGACTGCTGACCAAGGGCCTCCTCCAAGGATCTCCACACAGATTAGTCCTGCGCCCCTCGCTTCCATCAACTTCTCGCGACCTTCCCAAGTTCGTCGGTCTACCTGGTTTGTCCACTGAGCGTCGTCAGGTACGATTCAAGAATCTTTCCGCATAATGGCTATCGGTTCTTTACCTCTAAATAATAACACAGGCCCCCATCATTTCACACAAGGCACCTCTTCATGTAACATAAGGTACGTCATCTTAAAACACAAGGCACCTCATCATAAAACACAAGGCACCTCATCACATAACACAAGGCACCTCATCATATCACCCAAGCCACCTCATCGTGTAACATAAGGCACCTCATTATGTAACATAAGGCACCTCATCATGTAAAATAGGGCACCTCATCATATAACACAAGACAACAAGTATGGACTGACCTCAAAGACCTCCCTTGTGGCTGAGAAGGGCAGCACTGCCACGCCCACCAGCAGATCCGCCACGGCCAACGAGACGATGAACAGGTTGGTCACGCTGCGCAGCTTCGAGGAGCAGAGCACTGCGGCTATCACCAGGCAGTTACCTGGGGAACGTTGGAACATTAATGGTGAACAAAATTGCACATATAAACATAGGTACTGGTGGTAAAACCCCCTTTTCTCCCCCTTAAGGGATGATTTCTGTGATAAAAAGTCTGTCCTATACCTTTTCTCGTGTCTCTAACTACTTCTGTACAAGATCTCATCTAAAAAGTTCAGCGGTTTGACCGTGTAATAGACAGACTGAAAGGCTGATACACTTTCGCATTTAGAACATTAGTATGAAAGAACTCCTAAATTATTCATCATCATCATCATCAGCCTATTAATGTCCCCACTGCTGGGGCACAGGCCTTCCCTATGGATGGAATAGGGAGATTAGGCCATGACCCACCACGCGGGCCCAGTGCGGATTGGCGGGTGCTAACGACTGCAGATGCAGCCGGGACCAACGGCTTAACGTGCCTTCCGAAGCACGGAGGAGCTCGAGATAGAAAATTTTTTGGTCACCCATCCAATGACCGACCACTGCGAAAGTTGCTTAACTTCAACGATTGCAGCCGAACGCGCTAACCACTTGCACCATTGAGCTCCTCCCTAAATTATTAATTTCCTTATCAGTAATATCAGTGCTATCCCTCCGAACCAAAAGTTTTTTTTTTTTTTTTTTTTATTTCTTCATCTTAAAAGTAAAAAGAGCTTAATTTGCAAGTTTTTCTTACTTATAAACATAACACATTAAAACTATAGAAAAACTATAGAAAAAAAGAAAATTACCTTACCAAAATATTATAAAAATCCAAAAGAAATGGCGCATTAGAAATGAATGTAAATGACCAAGAAACGTTATTAATTTTACAAAAGTAAGTAACTTATATTAATTAAATATTCCGATGCAGTAATATAAAAGGGAAGCGTTTGGGTGGTCACGGCTTTTATTTCCGTTTCCTCTTTGGAAGGGAGAAGTCATAAATAAATAAAAACTCTGTACAAGTGCGTGTTGGACTTCGCACACTCCGGGTTCCCTACTAATTTTGAATTAACTAAACTCGGGTATGAGTTACATACTTAACGAAATAACAAACATTTTGACCAACTTTCCAATTCATAGGTCAATGGGAAATCAATAAAATCTGCGGTTTCTTTTTTGTAAAAATAGTTTACTTTACTCGATGGCGCAGGTGGGTAGCGCGTTCGGCTGCGATCGTTGTAGTTAAGCAACTTTCGCAGTGGTCGGTCATTGGATGGGTGACAAAAAATTTCTATCTCGAGTTCCTCCGTGCATCTGCAGTCGTTAGCACCCGCCAATCCGCACTGGGCCCGCGTGGTGGGTCATGACCCAATCTCCCTATTCCATCCATAGGGAAGGCCTGTGCCCCAGGAATGGGGACATTAAGAGGCTGATGATGATGATGATGATGATGATGAGTTTACTTTGGCGGCCTTTCCTTATTTGTTTTGTATATTATTTTCAAACAAGAATAATGCAAAATAGGCTTTTATAAATATCATTTTATTTCACCAAAGAATTTAACCCCTCAGTTTCAGGTCTAGAGGCTCCAGACGGAGAGGAGACTCCCCCGTGAGGAAATAGATCCGCCTGGAATACCTCTAGAGGCACTCGCCAATTCTCGGCTTGAGATCACCTTAGGATCTAGCCGTCCTCAAACCCGGTAACGCTGTAAAGGTCATCTGCGACCAACAGCATACACACTCAAAAAATGAGCGAGCCTTACAGTAGTCACATATGATGTGTAACATTTGAAACCTCACCTTATATTAGTTAAAAAGAAATAAAACCTACTACAAAAGGAATAAGCCATTTGAACATCTCTTATCTATTAGACAAGTCCGTCCGTCCGTCCGTCTGTCTGTGGTGCTGTTTCAGCGGCCAAACCGTAAGAGATAGATAAAGAGAATATTTAAGTTATAAGTTAAGAATAGTCTGATAAGACTACAAACCGGATTTGAGTAACGTAGCACTTCCGGTTTTGGAGAAATCACGAATTTAAAACGAAACCACACAAAATCTCCGAAGTTCTCAATTAATTAAATACATTTTTTTTAATTTTTGGTGAACATTTGGTTCGCTGGTTTGCTAGTTATGTTCTAAAATCAAATCAAATACCGCACACTTTCGCGACTTCCTGTTACACACTTCCGTCCCATTTCACGAAATCACTCCCACAAATTGCAGGAAAGCGAGAGGGAAGATGTTACACATAAAAAATAAACCAAATAACTAACTCAACGAAAACGGATATAACTTAATTTTTGCTTCTAAAATCTTGTAGAATATTTGAAATGGCCGCCAGCATGGATTGCCCAGAGCTGAGTACCGTACCCGATAATCGTACTCCTCCGTGCGTACTCGTCACAATCCACTCTTTCACACTTCACAAAGTACGGGAACCATTCTATCCTAACGCCCATGTAACGTGAGGGAAGTCCAGACGCGAAGATGGCTGATACAGCAGTTCTACCTGCCACACCAGCCATCCTCACCCTGCCGGCTTGCATGTTGCTTCTTCACGCCTCTTTTAAAGGATCCCAGGTTGTAAGAGGGAGGGAACACGTGAGCGGGCAGAGCATTCCATTTACGGATAGTACGACAAAGAAATGAGTCACCAAATTTCTTTGTACGCGTTGGAATTGTGACCACAGTTAGACGGTGACAAGTAGGCCAGCGCGCGTGGTCCTCTGAAGGTAAGGAGAAGGTGGGATAAGAGAGAATAACTCCTCATTATTCAGTAATACGTATTTTATGTATATTATTAATTTCATTTAGTTTGATCTCAGTTACATCAATGTTAAACGAACTCGTACCCAATTGGTAGAATCAGTAGTTTTCATACCTTTCGCCCTAAGTTTCACCCCCTTTGTTTCATCACTTAACATTTGTATTGAAGCCTATTTCATATTTGATGTTTTTTTCATGTGTTCTTTGTATAACTGATGTTCACTTATATTAATCCAGTTGTACATTTATGGTGGCCTTTGGTTTGGCTGTTTTATGTACCTTTATAAATAAACTAGTGGCCCGCCCTCGCTTCGCTTCGGCATTTTATCCCCTTGGGAGTAGAATTGATCAAAATCCTTTCTTAGCGGATGCCTACGTCATAACATCTACCTGCATGCCAAATTTCAGCCCGATCCGACCAGTGGTTTGGGCTGTGCGTTGATAGATCACTATGTCAGTCAGTCACCTTTGAGTTTTATATATGTAGATATGTTCTTTGACAATTTGTATGGATTTGGCGCTGTTGCTGCTTATACTGTAAACATTTTAAGACTGTAGCTCCAACCGTTTATAAAACCCGTATGACTAAAATGGATGGATAGAGGGAAATGTGAATGACAGCCCATAGAACCCTCTTTGAAGGAACCCTAAAAATGAGCCAAAACAAAACAATACCTACCCACCACATCTCCGTGAGAAAACTGGTCTCCAACATTTTTCACAACTTAATTAATTTTTCTCACATTAAAATTAAACTTAAGATTTTTGTACGTGGTAAAATTTTCAAGAAGTGACGTACCGCCCAAGTACTAATAAGATTTAGTGTCGCCGCACACGGGCCACACCCCACAGCCACAAACGCCGCCACGAGAAGCTAGAAGCGACTACTAAAGTGGCTGAAGCGCGCGACAGCGGCCGACTAAGGCAAGGGAGAGAGGGTTGGGGAATCGCGCGAGTGACGTGTGGCGGCGTTTTGTATCGGCGCATTAAGTGGCCGGTGCGGGCCACAAGAAGCGAGCAACGACGATTTGTAGCGTGTGGCGGCCACCGGCGTACCGTGTATGGCGAGTCCATATAAAATGTATGAAAACTACAAGAAATATGCCGGTGGCGGCGTTTTGTGGTTGTGGTCGGTGGCCCGTGTGCGGCGACACTTACAAACGAAAAGTTTCGTACCTTAATAGAATATTTAACACTAAGTTGAGAAAAAACCACCGCTCGAAGGAAACTTTTGAAATCATTAATATAAAAGTCCTTTATCGCCTGGGATTCGAACCCGGGCCACCTAAATAGCGTACCAATTAACCACCGATGCTTATTGATAACGCTTGAATTTTTTAGCGTTATTAAAGTAATGCGTAAAATTAAATTAGCTATGTAAAATTCAAAATTGGATCTTTACATCTTTCGCTTCTTTTTATTTTAATTTAAAGGTATAGATTAAATGAGCTTCCAAGGAGGTTCAACCGAAATTAAAAAAAAAAAAATGATGTGGTGTCGTGGGACACCAGGTAGGAACGAAGTTCCTTCGGCTAATGTAAAATCGACACAAATTGCAAACTCGCTTGTGAATGCGACTGTCGCGCCTGCGCACGTATCATTTAACGGTTTTATTCCACGCACTTTTTTCCACGGATTTTTTCTTACGGTTTTACTATCACATTTTTTTCAGTTCGGTCGCGCAGCAAAATCCCTATCCCCTCCAAGCCTGCCGTAAGGAACTTCGTCGCGCCTGCGCACGTCTCATTTAACGGTTTTATTCCACGCACTTTTTTCCACGGATTTTTTCTTACGGTTTTCTATCACATTTTTTCAGTTCAGTCAGCTAGTGTTCGTAAAGATTGCTAGGCAGGACTGGCCCACAGTTTATAATAAACTACAATGTCACAATAATCCAGTAATGCAGCCCCGTCGCTTTGCCACCCCCCTGGACTTAACCACAGTTTAGTATATACGACAATAATCCAGTGTTGGTATAATGCCACAATAATTTGGGGTTGCACCCCCGTCGCTCTGTCACCCCCTGTTAAGTACTGACCTTGTTATCATGTCTAGCTTAAGTTTACAGCAGATGACAGGCGTTCCTGGTCCACAGCTCGGTATAACGTCACAAATATCCAGATTTCGTGTAATGTCACAATATTCCAGTGCTGCACCCTCGTAGCTGTGCCACCCCCTACATACGCACCTTATTATCATGTCCCGCTAACGTTCGTAAAGGATGCTAGGCAGGACTGGCCCACAGTTTAGAATAAACTACAATGTCACAATAATCCAGTGATGCACCCCCGTCGCTCTGCCACCTCCTGATAAGTACTCACCTTGCAATCATAATGATGTCTCACAGGCGTTACTGGTCCACAGCTTAATATAACTTCACAAATATCCAGTGTTGGTGTAATATCACAATATTTCAGTGATGCACCCTCGTCGCTCTACCACCCCCTATAACTTCACACATATTCAGTGTTGGTGTAGTATCACAATATTTCAGTGATGCACCCTCGTCGCTCTACCACCCCCTATAACTTCACACATATTCAGTGTTGGTGTAATATCACAATATTTCAGTGATGCACCCTCGTCGCTCTACCACCCCCTATAACTTCACACATATTCAGTGTTGGTGTAATATCACAATATTTCAGTGATGCACCCTTGGCGCTCTACCACCCCCTATAACTTCACACATATTCAGTGTTGGTGTAATATCACAATATTTCAGTGATGCACCCTTGGCGCTCTACCACCCCCTATAACTTCACACATATTCAGTGTTGGTGTAGTATCACAATATTTCAGTGATGCAACCTCTTCGCTCTACCACTCCCTATAACTTCACACATATTCAGTGTTGGTGTAATATCACAATATTTCGGTGATGCACCCTCGTCGCTCTACCACCGCCTATAACTTCACACATATTCAGTGTTGGTGTAATATCACAATATTTCAGTGATGCACCCTCATCGCGCTCTCTCCTGCCGTAAGGAACTTCGTCGCGCCTGCGCACGTCTCATTTAACGGTTTTATTCCACGGATTTTTTCTTACGGTTTTACTATCACATTTTTTTCAGTTCGGTCGCGCAGCAAAATCCCTATCCCCTCCAAGCCTGCCGTAAGGAACTTTCGTTCCAAAAACCTAAAAAATACGCACGGCGCCATGTATGGGAGTTCTGTTTTTTTTCTTCTTTGTGGCAAGCACGGTTTGTGTGTTCAGCCAGTGTCAAGTAGAGTCTGAGAAAGAGAATGAGCGTGCCGAAAAACGGAACTAACATTAAGATTTTTATTTGGCAATCAAACCCAGCAATCTGTAAAACGTCAAAGGAGACCCGGCACTTTTCATAGAAAAAATGCTAAACTTGTATACAGTTGAATTTGGTCTCAAAATAAAGCCAAAATTATTTGCTACATAAAACTACTTTTGCCTTATTTTTAGTGAATCGTGGAAAGAAGTTATTTAATGATTAATATTTTTTGATATGGAAACCCTAAATCTTCAAGGGACAGAATTTTACTTCAAAATATTACTCAAATGACTGTAAAAACCTTGATTCCTTTGCTTTTTCTAAATAAAAAACCAAATGTCAATTTGACAATCCTAAAATACAAACAAAAAAATCATTCGCATTTCGCATCCGCTCCCGCGTACTGTGATTGTGAATGTTCTCTGCTGTGATTGCCTTTTTATCCGTTATTTCTCTTGACGACCCGGCTACATATAGAGGTTATATTGACAAACCTACGTATTTGACATTGACAGCTAGCTGCTTTTTTTACCCGGCTGCGCAATGCAAGAGCGCGAAGCGCGACGCGCAGATAGGGTTATTTTTATAATTTATTCATGGCCATGGACAGCTAGCTGCTGATGACGAATATTGCCAGACTACGTTACCCAATTATGAAACACAGATAAAAAAATTAAAAAAGTATACAACTTTGGCACAAAATGCCGGGTGTCCTTTTGTTTTGATTGATACGGATTTGTTTGTTGTTGTGATTTCTTGCGGTTTTTTTGTATTAATCAAGTCTAAAAGGGGTAAAACCTTGCTAATACGGTAAAAAAGCACTACAGCACCCTCCAATTTAAATCCCATTCTCTTTCCGCACAGACTCTAAAAGGGAGTTCTGTTGTATGGCCCGCAATTTTGAACTTTCGAATAGTGCAAACAATCAACGAAGGCATTTTTTTAGCAAACGTGTTTGAAAAGTTTTTGGACCAACTTTTAATTATTCATCATCATCATCAGCCTATTAATGTCCCCACTGCTGGGGCACAGGCCTTCCCTATGGATGGAATAGGGAGATAGGGCCATGACCCACCACGCGGGCCTAGTACGGATTGGTGGGTGCTAACGACTGCAGATGCAACCGGGACCAACGGCTTAACGTGCCTTCCGAAGCACGGAGGAGCTCGAGATAGTAAATTTTTTTTTTGGTTACCCATCCAATGACCGACCACTGCGAAATTGCTTAACTTCAACGATCGCAGCCGAACGCGAATTAGTACCATTTGTAAAATTTATTTTTGTGCTGTATAGTGCATTTGTCGAGGAAGACTATAAGGTTATATAATATAACGCTGCGACCAGTAGGAGCGGAACACCAATAAATAATATTAATTTTTATTATTTTAAAGCATGTAACTGCTTGATGTTTAAATCTAAAGAAAATATAACTAGAAAAAATTCCACGCGGACCAGGCAGCATACGGGACTCGCTATTTCTTCTTTCAAATGTTTAATACTTGTAAAAGTATTCATTTGACATTGTGGGTCACCTATAATGCGAAGAGATGGCGCTGGCTTGCAGCTTAAGAATGGCTAGAAGAATTTCGACGCGGTTCGTGAGGGCCGCGGTAGCATAATTAGTCAGTGTATTCGCCCGGATTGCGAAGGGTGCGGGTTCGAGTCCCGTCTGCTGCCTGGTCCTAGTTATATTTTCTTTAAATATTCCATCATTAAGCTTCCGTTGCGTGCGCTGCGTCAACGATAAACGTTACACAAAAATTATCTACCACAGAATTATGCCCCTTTAAAAGTGCTATAAAAAAGTTTGCGACGGCATATTTCTATCTCTTGAGGGTGACTCACTATAGCAAGGCACCTCTAGTAAATCTAAACACCTCTAGTATGGTCAATAAATGGGAATCTCCAAGGCCGTAAAATTTATATACAAAAAAAAACCTCTAGTAATAAAGAGTATTGTGATGTAAAATTGATGTGTTTGTGTGTCAAACTTGAAGAATTGCGGAATCATAAATATGTATATTATTTCGGTCAAATAGAATTGAGATTTTTTTTGTAGTGCTGACTACCTTACAGAACCTTATCAAGAGACTTTAGAAAATGTCACCGCATTCTAATGTAGTAAAATGAGAAAACTAAATAAGGCTAGGCTTTATGAAATCAGTATCCATTACCTTCCCATAAATTAAGTATCTACGAACGTCTATAGATATCTATGACACCCAAGTTTTTGAGTATGTATGCTGTTGATGGCAGATGACTTTTACAGGCGAGAACCTAAGGGGACCTCAAGCCGAAAATTGACGAATGCCTCTAGAGGTATTCCAGGCGGATGGCATCACCCCACGGGGGGAGTCTCCTCTCCATCTGGAGCCTCT